TCCAGCCCTTTTGGGTTTTATTTCTTTTTTAAAGGCAGTTTTTCCTTCTAGCTGGAGTTGACTCTGTAATCCAGGCCAGCCTCAGACTCATGGTGTTCCTCCTCCCTCAGTCTTTCAAAAGCTGGGATTGCAGAAGCAAGTCTCTGCTTCCGTCTTGGTTCTGTTTTCTGAGACCACCATGCCTGAAGATTTTTTGATTATTCTTTTATATTTTATTTGTTTTATGTGGGCAATGCCACAGATTGTATGTGTAAATCAGGGTTCAGCTTCTGGGAATTATTTTTCTCCTTCCACCATGTTGGTCCTGACTATCCAACTCATGTCCAGTTTGGAGCAAACACATTTACCCACTGAGCCATCTCGCTGCCCTCTAAGAGTTCTTTTATATTCCTCTCTCTATCCTTCTACCACAGAGCAGTGACAGACAGATTACTCTGTTAAATTACGTGGAAATTTAAATCTGGGCATACTCACCAGAGGGACTGGGAGGGTGTCTGAGGAAAGGCAAGAGTATGTTTGCACAGCTAGTCTAGAACGCCTTGCAGGCCAACCTGTTGATGATAAAATACCTGTCCACCTTCATTTTTCCTGATGCTATTCCAACTTGTGCTGAGATCTGGGTTAATGGAAGCTGTCCCTTTAAGAACTGGTTTGGTGGCCCGCCCTCTAAAGGGATCAGCAGGAAGGGGGTCATGTGACTGTGAGGCCCTTCCGCTGAGTTTAACTAGCTGTGGCTGTATGTTCCGCTGTTGGGGACCTCACCGGGGCTGGGTCCCCTGTGCCCCAACCCCATGGCTCCTTTTGAGTCTACTTGTGTGTGCAGCCCCATTTGGCCTGCTGGGAGAAGAGACTCGCCAGGTAAGGGCTCCGGAACTAAAGTAATAGATGTTTCCGGAAATCCTACCTTTCCAAGATGACTAGAATCTGGGACAACAGAGGGGTGGAAGGTGGATGTAAGAGAGGTGTCAACCCAGAGAGCCCAGTGTGGAGCTGTGAGTGACTGGAAGGATTGTGGAGGGAGTCAGGTCAGGCATGACTGCTTCTTGCTTTCTGTCGGTGTCTGAACCATGGCTCAGACATTGTAGCCCAGAAACAGGCAGGTTTGGGGACTTAAAAAGCCTTGTCAACCCTGAGCCCTCTGAGTAATCCTGGATCCACCCAATCTTCTCAACCCTACATCTGCCCCTGATTCCAAGTTCCCCTCAGTTCCTACACTTCCCTCTTGCCTGGTCCTCAAGAGCCCTTGCCATTCCTGGCATCACCCAGGTCCTGTCCTCCACCCCACAAGCTGCTCCTTTGCCTGTGAGCAGTCCTGATCTTGTTCCTTCCACCCTACTACCCTATGTTCCAGGTATCTATGGAGGTTATTTCTGGCTGGCCAAATCCCCAGAACCTGCTTCATATCCGGGCAGTGGGCAGCAACTCCACCCTGCACTATGTGTGGAGCAGCCTGGGGCCTCCAGCTGTGGTGCTGGTGGCCACCAACACCACTCAGAGTGTCCTGAGCGTCAACTGGAGTCTCCTGCTGTCTCCTGATCCTGATGGGGCCCTGCTGGTGCTCCCCAAGAACAGCATTCAGTTTTCTTCCGCTCTTGTCTTCACCAGGGTGAGAGGGTCTGAAGGAACTCAGAAGAGCGCAAAAAAGAAGAGAGTCTATCCTACCCCAAGGGCAGGGGAAGGGCTTAGCACAGGGTGGGTGAAGTGAATGCAGTTTTGGGTGGGGTGACTGGGAGGAATATCCAAGAGAAAGCCGGGAGGCAAGCCTCTTCCACTCTACCCTGTCCCCAGCTGCTTGAGTTTGACAGCACTAAGGTGTCAGAGGGGACACAGCCCCCTGGAAAACCATACCCTCCGTACTCCTTGGCCAAGTTCTCCTGGAACAATATCACCAACTCATTGGATCTTTCCACCCTGAGCACCATTTTTCAAGGCCACCCTGTAGATGACCCTACTGGAGCCTTCGCCAATGGCAGTCTGACCTTCAAGGTGAGGATATGGGGAAGGAACTCAAAATCAGCTGATTGGTGAGGACGCGGCGGGGGTATCGAACCCTCAAGCTCCATTCTCCTCACATGGCTTCCCTCTCCTTCCTAGGTCCAGGCCTTTACTAAATCCGGTCGTCCTGCTCAGCCCCCTCGCCTCCTGCACACAGCAGATGTCTGCCAGCTAGAAGTGGCCCTGGTTGGAGCTTCTCCTCGTGGAAACCACTCCTTATTTGGTCTAGAGGTAGCCACCTTGGGTCAGGGCCCTGACTGCCCCTCAGTGAACGAACGGGACTCCATCGATGATGAATATGCACCTGCCGTCTTCCAGGTCAGGTCTCCAGTGCGAGATAGATGGGCAGGAATGCAAAGTGGGACCCCGCCAGCAGCCCAGAAACCCCACCAACCACTTACTATTGTTTAAAAAGATGTGTGTTTGTTTGGGTTTTTGAAGGATTGATTTTTTTTTGTTTTTTGTTTTTTGTTTTTCGAGACAGGGTTTCTCTGTGTGGCCCTGGCTGTCCTGGAACTAACTCTGTAGACCAGGCTGGCCTCGAACTCAGAAATCCACTTGCCTCTGCCTCCCAAGTGCTGGGATTAAAGGTGTGCGCCACCACCGCCCGGCTTGATTTATTTATATTTTATGTGTGTTGGCGTTTTGCCTGCATGTATGTCTGGGTGATAGTGTCAGATTCCCGGAACTAGAGCTACAGTCAGCTGTGAGCTGCCATGTGGGTGCTGGGAATTGAACCCAGGTCCTCTGGGAGAGCAGCCAATGCTCTTAACTGCTGAGCCGTCTCTCTAGCCCCAAAAGATTTGTTTTTTATGTGTGTGTATTTGGGTGTATGTGTGTATAGGTTCCTATGAAGGCAAGAAAAGAGTGTGAGATACGCTAGAGCTGGAATTACAAATCATTGTACGCCTCCTGACATGTGTGCTAAGGAACGGAATTTGGGTTTTCGGCACGAGTAGCAAGCTCTCAGCACTGAGCCATCACTAAAGCTGCCACACCACCCCTTTTTTTTTTTGGTTTTTCGAGACAGGGTTTCTCTGGGTAGCCCTGGCTGTCCTGGAACTCACTCTGTAGACCAGGCTGGCCTCGAACTCAGAAATCAGCCTGCCTCTGTCTCCCAAGTGCTGGGATTAAAGGCGTGCACCACCACCGCCCAGCTACACACCACCCATTTTTAAAAGGGTTTTTTGTTTGTTTGTTTGTTGAGACAGGGGATCCCTATGTATCTCTGTGGCTGACTGACCTAGAACTCTTGTTATGTAGACCAGGCTGTCCTTGAATTCAGAAAGGTTCATCTGCTTCTGCCTCCTGAGAGCTAGGATTAAATGCATGCACTGAGACCAGGCTGTCCTTGAACTCAGAAAGATTCATCTGCTTCTGCCTCCTGAGAGCTGGGATTAAACACATGCACTGACACACATGGTCCCAGATTCTTATTTAACACTTTCTCTGACTCCTTGTAGTTGCACTAGTCTTTTGCCTGCCATCTCTGCCCTCCAAGGAAGCAGACAAAACTAGTGCTTCAAAGATCTTCAGCTAGGACTCTCCTTAGCCTGGGCCCAGAGGGTGCAAGGGCTGGAGGGCTGCAGCTCTGTTCATCTCGATTTCTCTCTGTAGAGCAGACCGGGCCTCCTACACCTAGCATGTCAATTCTACAACTACACCTCGTGCTGGGACTCTTGGTGCCCTTATTACCTGTACTCTGGGAGGGATGAGGAAACAGAAGCATTGGTACAGGTCGGTCTGCCTCATCCTGCCTCCTTTGCTTTTCTCTCCAGCTGAACCAGTTGTTGTGGGGCTCTTCACCTTCTGGCTTCATGCAATGGCGACCAGTGGCTTTCTCTGAGGAGGAGCGGGCCCGAGAATCAGCCCTCCCTTGCCAGGCTTCCACTCTTCGCACCACCTTGGCATATTCTCTCCCTCATTCACCGATTGTTCAGGCCTTTTTTGGGTCACAGAACAACTTCTGTGCCTTCAATCTGACCTTTGGGGCTCCCACGGGCCCTGGCTACTGGGACCAACGTTACCTTTGCTGGTAAGAACCAAGGGTTTGGTCAAAGTGGAGCGAGGCTGGGCTGCTCAGCCTGCCCTCCTAAGCCTGCTTACCTCCTTGCTCTAGGTCAATGCTTCTGGGCATGGGCTTCCCTCCACTGGATGCCTTCTCTCCACTAGTCCTCGGAATCATGGCAGTGGCCCTGGGAGCTCCAGGACTCATGTTCCTGGGGGGAGGCCTATTTCTGCTGCTGCACCACAAGCAGTATTCTGAGTACCAGTCCATAAATTGAAACCCACTCTCCAGAGGGAAGGGCAGAACCACATCTGCCTTGCTGCGCCTCCAGCTGTCGGAGGGTGGAGGGCCAGTGCTGTGATCTGCTTTTCTGCAGAACCTCAGAAACCAGCTTCAACCTACTGGGGGGGTCCCAGGAAGTTGTCCTTCTGAACCCACAGAGAGGCTGCGATTACTGGTCCCCACACTCCTGTTTCCTGTGGATGAAACTTGAAGGCCTACATGGGTGGCTGTTAGCTGCTCTAAGGGGCACAAAATAGACTTTTCCCCCCATTACAAGATTCCAGTCTCTCTTAATTTTAAATTAGATTTATACATTTTTATATTTGTGAGTCTTTTATTTGTATGGATGTGCAGTGTGGGGGTGGAGGAGGTGCTTACTGAGGTCAGAAGAGGGCGCTAGATCCCATGGAACTGTAAACCACCAAGTGGGTACTGGGAATTGAACCAGAGTCCTTTGCAAGAGCAGGAAGTACTCTTACCCGCTGAGCCTTCTCTCTAGCCCAGGTTCCAATCTCTTTATATGTGAGTGCTGTTGAGCTGGTTTGGGGCAGTTTCTACAAATGGGAAGAGGGAGGGGCTTGGAAGGCAGTTTCTCACCAGTCCTCATGGTCTCTCCTCGAGGCTCCTGTCAGCCACCTTGTACCCCTTGGTGCTAGGAGGTAACTTGTGGCTGGGAGTCAGGGGGGCAGGGTAGCAGAAAGGAAGAGCCAAAGGGGACTGGCAGTGATTTATTACATACTCACAGATATATATCCTGGGCTAACAGCTCTGCCTTCCTAGCCGCCATGTGAGTTCATACACAGTTCTTTTGGAGATTTTATCTCTATGCCCCAACCCTCTTACAGTGGGACTTCTTGGAAGTTTACAAAGTAGAAGTTTACAAGGACCCATGTAGGTTGGGAAAGGGAAGACAACAGCTGTATATAACAGTCTTGACTGAGGCAAAAGAGTCTTAAGGCCAGTGGTAGCGGGTCCTGAACCCAGGCCCCCTATAAGAGTTTTCACCAAGCATCTGATAGGCCATCAACTTCTACTCTTGGGCTTAGGCAGTTTTTCCTTCTCCTTAACTCTCACCTAGACAGCTGGCACAGACAGTTCAGGTTGGGCTGTGGTTCTGCACTCCTGACCCACAAGAAGCTAGGGAGGGAGATAACCATCCAGCCATAGCCCCTGTGCCATGGTGGGAAGCTGCCCAAGAAGGCAGTGTGCTTGTCCACTCTCTCCCTTGGGCTCTCATCCTCTGGGGTAAAGCAGCAGCTAGGAGAGAATAGGGGTGTCTGGGCCCTGCTGGAGCCTCAGTGGGGAAGTAGCAAGGTTCCTCGCGTCAAAGGTCCATTGCCTGGGCAAAGGCCAGGCCTGCAATTGTTCCAGGGAAGTGCTGAAAGCCCCCTGCACAGCTCTAGGTGGCTCAGCCCCACGAGCGGGGCCTGTAGTCGGAAACAGACCGGACATGGTCAGGGTAGTCCAAGCGGCTCTCGGAGGCAGTGAGCATGCGCTCTGGCTCCACCACAAACATGTAATAAAGGTTCCACACCAACATGGCCAAGAGTGGTAGGAAAGTCAGCCCGTAGCCAAAGCCTCGGAAGGAGCGGCCCACAGCAAAGGTCAGCCAGTATATCAGCCTGTGGAAACAGAACAAGGGCCCAGACAATTGTCAAGAGCAGACAGTGGGAGACTAGATGGGAAGGGCTGACAAGGCTGTTGCTGCTCCAAACACCCAGTTTATATGTACGCTCCCAATATTTGCTTTCCCATATCTCTGATGTGAGACTATTACTTCTGTCTTCTACTTACTAGTTAACATTTAAGCTGGCAAACTCCGCACCCCCCCCCCAACAGGGTTTCTCTGTGTAGCCCTGGCTGTCCTGGAACTCACTCTGAAGACCAGGCTGGCCTCGAACTCAGAAATCCACCTGCCTCTGCCTCCCAAGTGCTGGGATTAAAGGCATGTGCCACTACTGCCCATCCTAAGTTGGCAAACTTAATTCATATTTATTTATTTATTTTTAGCATAGAATAGAGTTTATTCAGGGCATGGAGAGGGAAGCCAGGAGGGTAGCAGAGAGAGAGAGAGAGAGAGAGAGAGAGAGAAAGAGAGAGACAGCTAGCGCAGAAAGTAGAGGTAGAGGCTGGTCATGGCCACGTGAAGAGAGGGGGAAGGGAAGGGGGAGGAGCAAGGGGCACAGAGGACCCGCAGGGGAGGGAGTAAGAGCTAATTTCATATTTAATTACAATTAAATTTTCATTTAAATGACGGAGAGCTCAATGACAATTCACCTTTCATACTGTCCCCCCTTTCTTATTCCCACCTTCTCCTTAACTCCCATCCAGCGCTATGGTTTCTTGAGTCGTTTCTGTTTTGTAGATACTAACAAAAAGTCATTTGTGGTTCAGGGCTTCACAAAGCTAGGCAAGTGTTCTATCACCGAACAACATCCCCAGCTCCCCTAGGCCTGCCTTGGTCCTCAAATGAAGGGGTTACCAGGTGCTCTACCTGTAGTGCCGGGGACTGAAGCTCAGGCCGACTATCTGCTAGGCATGAACTCCAGTAACTGAGGTACATCCCTAACCCAGTGTCTCCCCTTACTCTCAACTGTTTTGCTTGTTACTTTTTGATTAGCATTTGAGTCAGAATCTCACTGTGTTGCCCCGTATGGCCTCCAAAATGTGCCAGTTCTGCCTGAGCACAGCACTGCTCAGAACCACAGCCCTGCACACCGAGCTCCGTTCTCATTCTTAGCTCCACTGTGTTCTATATTTGTGGATAAAGAAAACAAGATCCTGTTGGGTGTGGGGCACAGACTTTTAATCCCAGCACTCAGGAGCCAGAGGCAAGGCAAATCTGTGAGTCTGAGGCCATCCTGGTCTACACGGTGCATTCCAGGACAGCTAGGGTTATGTAAAGACCCTGTCCCAAAACAAAACAAAACAAAACAAAAGCTCACTTTCAATATTCAGTAGACTGAGGCAAGAAGATTGCTGAGAATTTGAGACCAGCCTGATTTACATATTTTCAGTCCTGTTTGGGTTACATATTGAGATCCTGTCTCAATGAAATAAAATAAAATTCACTGGTGACTCCAAATCGAATGGAAAAAAAGGTGGGGGGCAAGGGAGAAGGAGATTCCATGAGAGTGAACTGACCTCTGGGTGAAGAGGTCAGTGCTCTTAACCAAGGTTCTGCTCACTGACAAGCAGATTCCTACCCAGAGAGCAAAGGCATCAGAGCCATTCAACCACTAGAGGGGGCTGTTTAAGTGCAGGAACTAGTCTGTGTAGTCCAGTTTCTGATTCGTGAAGGTCAGGGTTGGGGCAGTTCATTCACTTGCTTTTTTTTTTTTTTTTTGAGACAAGGTCGTAGCTGTGTTGTGCTAGCCGGCCTGGGACTCACTGAGCAGCTCAGACAGACATGAACTCTTGGCAGCCCTCCTGCCTCAGCTTCCCAAATACTGGGATCATAGGCCAGAGTGAGCCAGTCCATCAGCTCTAGGGCAGTTGTTAGCCCTAAGGAAAAACTTCCTAGCCATTAGGACTCTTAAAACTGGAAAGGGGTGTGGTGGGGATCCCAGCACTTGAGAGGCTGAGACAGGAGGATTGCCAAGAGCTTGTGTTCAGGTTACATGAGATGGTGACTATCTCAAACAAGGTAAAACAGAAAACGCTCCACATTTTCACAGAAACGTTTCACAGAAACGCTGTGTTCAGTTAGAGGCCAGTTCTTAAAGCTATTTGGATGGAGAGTTACAGACTAGAGTAGCTTCAGTGGACACACTAAATGACAAATGAGGTTAAGTTTGTGGGGCTGTGCTTAGATGCGTGAGGCAATGGATTCAACACTGTACCAAAATATGTACGTCAAAGCTCCCTGTTGACATGGCGCTGAGACCAACTTCTAAAAGGGAGAGAGGAGCTGAGCACCCAGTGCAGCTCAAGAGACAGAGCAGGCTCATCACTGCATGGTGTATATCCAGAAACACCCCACCCCCGACTCCCATCCTGATTTCAGGTCTCCAGTCCCTGGAGGATCTGGGATCATGACGTCCCTCCTGCCTACCCTAGCCATGGCCACCCCAGCCCCTACTCACCGAGATATGGCGAACAGACCGGTGAGCAGGGGGAGCAGCTTGAGGGTGTCCTGGGGCAGATAGGTGGAAAGCACAGCCAGGTTAAAGAAGTAGAGGATGAAGAGCTGCACAGACTGGGTCACGTACTGCCGGTGGATCTCCACTTCCCGCCGTGGCTCGCCGAAGGGCCGAAGGGCAGAAAAGCACAACAGGCTCAGCCCATACACAAGGAGCCCTGGCAAGGGAAGAAGCATGGGGTCAGAAAAAGGCAGGAGGTTTGCGATGGGGTCAGGGCTACAGAGTAGACACAAGAGTTCCCTGGAGGAGACAGGACAGAGTGGCAGGTTCGGGAGGCCCTGACTGGTTCCAGCACAATAAAGAGAAACCACCCAATCCAAACCTCACTAGTCCACTTCCCAGGTAGCCCTTCTCCGCGGGCCCAGACTCACCGAGCACGATGGGGAAGGTGGCAAAGACCCCACAGCGTAGGGTGTAGACCAAGCGGGAACTCATGGTGGGCAGCCTCGGGGCATCGAAAGGCAGGAAGGCGTATGCTCCATACAGCAGGCAGGGGAAGAAGATGAGGGCGGCCACCACCGAGGCTACAGCTCTCAGTGCCTCACGACCTCCACAGCTTCCACAGCCCCCGCAGGACCGGCCAGGGGGTCTCACAACTGCCTCAGCCCACTTGCACTCTGGAGGCTCAGGGTGGCTGAGTCGGGCTGGCAGGAAATTCCTGAGCTCGCCCGGGCCAGCCTCACGATGCAGGATGCGCTCCTCCGGCTTCCGCTCGATGCACTGTAAGTCAATGGGCACGAAGGCCCTAACTGACTTCTCCGGGAGCAGGCTGGCATCATCTTTGAGTGGTTCCTCCAATTTAGTAGGTGCTTCTGACTCTAGAGGCTCTGGTTCAATATCTCGCCAGCCCGGGGGATCCGGAAGTGGGGCGCTGGGATGGGGGTCAGTTCCCCAGGGCAAGGTGGCAGCCTCACTTATTGTGCTGTCTGGACCATCCTCGGGCCCCTCTCTGACTATAGGAGACCCTACTGAAGACCCCACTCTGAGGGACTCAGCTCCAGGGGACTCAATCCCACCTTCTTCCTCTGGCTGCTGGACTAAAGCCTGTGGTGGGCTCTTCTCTGGAATCTTGGTTTCCTTCAAGTCCAGCAGGGCCAGTGTCTCCGGTTCTGCCATTGTGAGGGCTTCAGTACTGAGATCTACCACAAGGCGATGTCATTCTATAGACAGTAGGGGAAGTTCTGTGAAAATCCCTTGTCTTCTGGCCCCAGGACAGTTTCTCAGACCTAGAACTCCCCAGAGCAGCCGGCCTCATGGGACTCTAGGGAGAACACAGTGTGGAGGAAGGTGTTGAAACACAGAGGCGAGCAGCAGAGGAGTGAAATGGAGGATCGCTTTCAAAATAAATGTCATCCAGCAGGACAAGGGTGAATCAGGGGGATAGTCTTGGCACCTGTGACCTCAGTTTATGCCCACACCTGCCTTCTAAGCTCTCCACCAAAACTCCTGGCTTCATGGCCACCCTAGCGTTGGAATGGGAAGCTGAGGTGTCTGGGACTGGGCTTAGTTTCTTTACAACGAAGAATCATCCTATAGAGAAACCAGCCCTTCCCCCTTCCACCTGCCCTTTGCCCTGCAGATCCGCGCCTGGACTCTTGGCAACAGACACCAGTAGCCACTCAGTTCCTTAGTCTCCATTCCAGAAGCCAGACATTTTCCAAACTTTCCCCTTGCCAGTCTCACCCAGTTCAGCTGGGCTGGGCTCCTCTCAACCTCTGGGCTCTAGTGAGGCTGTTCCCATGTCTTCCTCTCGTCTTTCTTTCCCTGCCACCCTCCAGCTCACTGCTTCTGGATAGGGCTCTTCTCTTCATTCACTTCTAGGGCCCCTCCTACCCCTGCCCTTTGGACCCATGATACCCTCTTACTTTACATCTGCAGAGAGGTGGAGGATCTCCGGAAAGGAACTGCCTAGCTCCTGGCTGGCTCTGCAGGTATTTCCCAGTCTCCCTCCTCTTGCCTGTGTCTCCAAACCTGTCTGACCAGAGCAGGTGGGGCCCAGATTAAAGGCGCAGGCCCTGCCCTACAGAATCTGCCTTTTTGAAAGGCAGCCTTTTTGAAAATAAGGGTGCAGCTGGGCACGGAGGTGTGGATTTAAGGTATTCTGGGATGTGTAAGAGCTTCGCTCAGGGAAGCATCAGGGTTTAAAAGTGGGTTTGTGTATCAAAGGGTGCTTAGAGTATATTGGGGAAAAGATGACACTACAAGTTTGTTCATCCAATAAATGTTTATTGGGTATCTATTACTAATAAGGTGCTATTTCTGTGGTGGTACAAGCCTTTACTCCCAGCACAGGAGGCAGAGGCAGGCAGATATCTGTGAGACTGAAGCCAGCCTGGTCCAGCATCGAGAGCTATGTAGAGACCCTGTCTCAAATACACACACACACACACACACACACACACAGAGAGAGACACAAAACAAACAAAAAAGTGCTAGTCTAGGCACAGGTACAGAAGAGAAGAAAGTGACAAGGTTTCTAGCTATTTAGGTAACAGACATTAAAGTTCACACTGAATCAGTAGAATTTCAGTAGGGAGAGCCTCTTTAAGGTGACTCTGAAGCTGAAACCCAGTGGGAGTTCCTTGTAGTTCCTCCAACAGGTGGAATCAACTTGAGGCAGTTTGAGGAATAGAAAGGAGATTTGGCGAGGCCAGGCTGGTCTACAGAGTGAGTTCCAGGACAGCCAAGGCTGCACAGAGAAACCCTGTCTCGAAAAACCAAAAAATAAAAAAAAAAGAAAGAAAGGAAGGAAGGAAGGAAGGAAGGAAGGAAGGAAGGAAGGAGATTTGGGGGCTGGAGCCAGGTGCATAGTGATAGTTACATTGCTATTATACGCAGGATCCCAAAGATCCCTTTAACTTAGTTAGGTTTACGGTTAAGAAACCAATAGAGGCCGGGCGGTGGTGGAGCACGCCTTTAATCCCAGCACTTGGGAGGCAGAGGCAGGAGGATTTCTGAGTTCGAGGCCAGCCTGGTCTATAGAGTGAGTTCCAGGACAGCCAGGGCTACACAGAGAAACCCTGTCTCGAAAAACCAAAAAAAAAAAAAAAAACCAATAGAGTTGTCAAGATGGCTCATCAAACCTGACTATCTGAGTCTGATCCCCCAGAGAACCACACTTCAAAAGAAGAAAACTGACTCTCCCAAGTTCTCTGGCCACATGTATGTTGTAAAATACATGAACCCACAAATGTACACAAATAATAAATGTTGCGTCTCTGGGGAGGAATTCTTTTAAAAAGAAAACAACAACAACAACAACAACAACAAGCAAAAACTGTGTCTTCCCCAGCAGCCACCAACTTCCAGTAGCTCCTCAGTTAGGGGTCTACATGAGTCTTCCTACGTGTGCGCTGGGACTCTCGCTGACTTGACCTTGTGCATGCAGTCACAGGTGAGCGCCTATGTGCGACAGCACTATCGCGTCTAGCAAATACTATTTCAATGCAGATCTCTACTGCCTCCGGATCTTAAAATCTTTTCGCTGCCCCTCCTCTGCAACTACTTCTGATTCAATGATAGCTGGCCCATTCATTTTATTATTTTACGCACGTTAGCGTTTTGCCTTAATACATGTCTGTATGAGGGCTTCGATCCCTGGAGCTGGAGTTACAGATGGTTGTGAGCTGCCATGTGGGTAGTCAGTTCTCCAGCACCTAGCTGTACCGTGTAGAGCTTTGCATTCTACGGTCTCTTTTCTTCTCCCCTGGAAACTTTTTTTTTTAATTCATTTTATTTGGGGGGCATGGAGCGTGCCACGGAGCTCGTGTGTGGAGGTCAGGACAACTTGCTGGAGTCGATTCACCTTGTACCATGTGGGTTCCAGGGGTCGAGCTCAGGTTGGCGGCAAGCGCCTTTATCCGCTGAGTCATCTCGCCAGCGCGCTCTTTTTAAACTCTCTTCTTGAGACAGGGTCTCTGTATGTAGCCGGGCTGGGAACTCACTGCAGGCTGCCTCGGCTTCTGAAGAGCTGCGCCAGAAAGCCCGGTTTCTCTACATTTTTGACTAATAAACTTTTCCTCAAAGACTTAAGCCCAGGAAAAGCCAGGCTACCGAGAGCTAGCTCGGGTAACTTCCCGGAGAGAAGACAATTTTTCGCGAGACTTGGTGGGTTGGTCGCTGGTCCGCAGCTTGGCGGCAGCTATCGCGAGATTTGATAGGTGGAGGAGGAGCCATCTCAGGCAGCCGCCTCACAGCGATGGCGGCCGAGCAGGGCCGGCGGCAGTGGCGGCCTCGGGTACAGCTGGAGACGGCAGTGGAGGCGCCAGTAGTGGGTGGCGGGGGCCTGTGACCAGGAGGTGCCTCCGGGCTCAGGCACCATGAGCCAAGGCCCTCCTCCAGTGGAGAGCAGCGAACCTGAAGCAAAGGTCCTCCACACCAAGCGGCTTTACCGGTGAGAAGGCCGGGGTGTGTGTGCGCGCAGCCCCGGCGGGGAAGCGGGGCCGGCGAGGGGCGGGGCCTACGGCTGCGGGCGGGCCCGACGAGGGCGGGGGTGCAGCCGGGGAGCAGGCGGGCGTGCCGGGAGGAGCTGGGAAGAATTGGGTGGGTGGGAGGTTTGAAGCCTGTGAAGCGATCCTCGTCTCAGTGAGCATAGCGCGACGCGGGGTTATGCGGAATTGGAGAGATCCTGTGGGAATTGGAGGTTGGGTAGGTGAGGGTGGGGGTCACAGGTGGAAAAAACCCGAAGGGGACTAGTGTGCAGAACCCCGCTGAGCACTAGTGGTTACTGGAAACAGCCATTGACTGAAGTCCACAAAAACAGGATCATGTCCTTGATTTGCCCCTCTTGCTATGTGACCTTGGGCCTCAGTTTCTTCTTCCTTAAAAGGAAGGATTTGAGGCTGGAGTGATGGGTTAGTCCTGGTTTCTCTTCCAGAGGTCCCTGGTTCAATTCCCAGCACCCACCCACAGGGCAGCTCTATGGGATCTAACACTCAAACAGACATATATGCAGGCAAAATACTAGTGCACAAAAATTAAAAATAAATCTTTTTTTTTTTAAAAAATCTTTCAAAAAAGAAATTTCAAATTAAAAAAAAAGGTTTGATTTGAATACACTGTGAAATCCGTTATGGCTTATGTTTTGTGGACTATTGAGTGTGAATAAAGGCTAGATAGAAAAGGCTAGTTATGTTGTTGGCTAGGACGAAGGACTTTGGGTCCATCGCTCAAGGCACCCGGTGACTCAGTTCTTCCTTACAATCTTCTGTCCACAGTCTCTTGTGGACATAGGATATACACACAAGATCCCAGAGCTGAGTCACAGTAAGATGAAGAGTGGAGACCAAGCTGAGTTTTCTGCCTTCTAGTAGGAAATGGAACTTGGGGCTTCCCGTTTACCTCAGGCCCTGCTGAGTGGAGGTGCTTGCACTGCTCAGGCCTGTGAAAAAAATGAAGAGCTGCTTGATTCATGTGCCCTGCCTCTTCTGGCCTTGTAAGCTAAAAGGTGAAAGGGAGTACAGGCTCTTTGGGAAATAGACGCCCTGGCCTCCCACCAAGGGGCCCCAAGCAGTAGTCCCCAGGCTGAGGAGTTCTCTGGAGATGGCTTGTGTAACTAGTAATGCTGCTAAGTGCTGTGCTGCTTGTCAGACACAGCGTGGGCAGTGTCTGTGATATTCCTTACTTGTCTCTACCCTGGGGCATGGCTCTGGACAATCTTCTGATTGTGTCAGGCCAGGTGTCTCAATTTCTCAAACCTTTCTTTCACAGTTGAGCTGGTGTGTTTGCAGTATGTGGCATGTATGTATGTATGTATGTATGCATGCATATGGCTTATCTGTGGTTGTGTTGGTTTTGAGGACGGTAAGCAATTGAGCCAGCCAGTTTTGTTCTGTTTTGTGTATGTGTGTGTCTCTCTGTGTGTGTGTCTCTGTGTGTGTGTGTGTGTGTGTGTATGTGTGTCTAAGGCACTGGCGATGACGTTCTGACTTCTGATAAATGTGTTAGACTTTGGAGCTGTCATTGAGCTTCAGAGAATTGGAAAAACTCCCAAAGCTAGCTAGCTACAAATATTGATTTCTTTCTAAGGCTGTCTGAACAAAAAGAAGGAAGAAAGGGGTTGCTGGGGAATATGTGAACACTAATTAATTTATTAGATTAATTAATTCTATACATGTTTTTAAAAATATTTGTACAACATTGATTTGAGTCCAGACTAATTTTTGTGGTTTTCAAAGGGAGATTATAGTTTTGTTTGTTTTTTGAGCCCTGTCTAATCTGGAGCTCTCTGTGTAGACCAGGCTGGGCTCAAACTCAGATAAGCCTGCTTCTGCTTCCTGAGTGCTGAGACTAAAAGTTTGTGCCCTGGCAAGGTTATAGTTTCTTGAAGAAGCTTGTGGTGTGATAGAAAATGGGAGAAAGGTGTTAAGTACTCCCAAATCTAAGGATTTCTCTTTGGAGCTTTCTAGAGTACCAGGGATTAACCTCTTTTTTTTGTTTGTTTGTTTGTTTTTGTTTTTGTTTTTGTTTTGTTTTTCGAGACAGGGTTTCTCTGTGCAGCCCTGGCTGTCTTGGAACTCACTCTGTAGACCAGGCTGGCCTGGAACTCAGAAATCCGCCTGCCTCTGCCTCCCAAGTGCTGGGATTAAAGGCGTGCGCCACCACTGCCTGGCTTAACCTCTTATTAAAAATTGAGAATGTAAGGAAGTTTCTGGAGTCTGTTCATAAAAATACAAACACTTGGACTAGAGGTGTAGTTTAGTGGAAGCTCTGGGTTCAGTCTTCCAGCAGCATCAACAAAAAATAAAATACCAGCCAGGCAGTGGTGGCACACGCCTTTAATCCCAGCACTTGGGAGGCAGAGGCAGGTGGATTTCTGAGTTCGAGGCCAGCCTGGTCTACAGAGTGAGCTCCAGGACAGTCAGGGCTACACAGAGAAACCCTGTCTCAAAGAACAAAAGAACAACAACAAAACCCCGCCTATATTCGTATTAAATCTACC